CCCAAGGTAGGAACTCAGGGCAGGAACCTGGAGGCAGGAGCTGGAGCACAGGCCATGGAGGAATGCTGCTTACTGGCTTGCTCCCTTGTCCCTGCTCAGCCTTCTTTCTTATGCAACACAGGCCCACCTGCCCAGGGGTGGCACTGCCCACAGTGGGCTGGGCCCGCCCACATCACTCAACAATCAAGAAAATGCCCCACAGACATGGCCACAGTCCAGTCCAATGGAGGCAATTCTCCAGTTGAGGCTCTCTCAACCCAGGTGTGTTAGTTGACACTAAAGCTATCCAGCACACACACACACACACACGCACACACACACACATACATATATATATGAATTACATGAATATATTAAAATGTGGATCAAAAATTGGTATTGAGATGTTGAGATATCCTAGTCAGAAAAATGTATTTTGGGTTACACCTGTCTTGTAAGTATGGGAGAGTGGAGCCTGATTCCTCTGCTGGTTGTGGGAAATAAACAATGAGAAAGAAACACTACTAGGTGGAGGGAGGATGTCAGTGCTACTGGGCAGGACTTGCTTAAGGAGAGTCATGGACAGAGCTGAGCTTTGGAGTTGCTGCAGTTGACTCTGTCCCTGACTGCATGGCGCTGCCAAGCCATATTCCAGGAGGTGGCAGTAAAACCCTGTCACACTGTGAGCCATATCCATACCCAGGGGGAAAATGGCAAAACCTGTGATGAATTTTATATGAGATCTAGTATCTGTTCCTTTTTATCCATGCATCCAAAAATTGTTTTTATTTTTTAATTTTTTGGTCTTTTTGTGTCAGGGTCTCCCTGTAGCCCCAGCCTGGAAATCACAGTGTAGACCAGGTTGGCCTAGATCTTACAAATCCTCCTCCCTCTGCCTCCAGAATGCTGATTAAAGGTGTGCACGTCCATGCCAAGCTTTTTCTATTTTTTAGATTTCTTTCAATTATATGTGTATATGGGTGTGCCTGTGTTGGGGTATGTACATGTGAGTATGGGTGCCCTTGGAAGCCAGAAGTGTTGCAGTTGGCATCGTTATCAGTCTAGGGGTATTGTTGGGTTAATTTTCCCAGAAAATTAAAGAATTAAAAGGCAGGAAAAATATCACCCCAGCAGATAGCAACAGTCAGACTTTTATTGAATGATAAAGGATCACATCCATACACAAAGAATCACACATATGTGCGCACATTCATATAGAAAGATGAAGCCCTCCACAAGTGGAGAGGGGACCTGGAAACCAACAATCCATTGTCCCTGGGAAAAGATCTGGTTTTGAAGGTTTTAGTGGTTTCCCCTCCTCTAATTTTGGATTGACTAAACTTAAACAAAGAGAAGGCTGTTAGGTCACATCTTCAAGCTGAGCTATATCCAAGGCTGTGTGACTCTAAGCACGTCAGTTGAAAGGGCCTTGTTGGAACGCTCCTGGCAGACACCAAGAAGACAGAAGTATGCCATCTCTATTACTTCAGTGACTTTGTTTGTTAGAGATTTAGTCCCTTACAGAAACATCAGATTCCTCTCGGAGCTGAAGTTACAGGCAATTGTGAGCCACCCAAACTGGGTGGTGGGAACCAAACTCAGGTCCTCTGCAACAGCATCTTGACCACTGAGCCACCTCTCCAAGCTGTTTCTTCTTTTTTTTAAGGCACAGGGTGATAAGGTGTGATTCATCATCTGAACCACAGAGATGGCCAGGGAACACTGTAATAGATGGGACATCTAAATGTAAATCCTGCATACACCTCTCAAAATATTGATCTGAGGGCAAAAAAAAAAAAAAAAAATCACTGTCCTAGTTTGCCTTCTGTTGCCATGGTAAAACACTGACCAAAACCAACTTGGGGAGGAAAGGATTTATTTGGCTTACAGGTTACAGTCTTTCATTGATGGAGGCCAAGGCAAGAAACTGGAGGTAGGAACTGAAGTAGAGATCTCAGAAGAATGCTGCTTACCTGCTTGCTCAGCTAACTTTCTTATTCAGCCCAGGCCTGCCTCCCTAGGGATGGTACTGCCTGCAGTAGGTAGACCCTCCTACATCAATTAGCAATCAAGAAAATGCTCCATAGGCATTACCATAGGCTAAACTGATGGAAGAAGTTCCTCAAGATTCTCTTTCCAGGTATGTCTAGGT